AGCAATATTTTTTTACCAGTATACATTTTTACCATAACTCTGTTTCTAAATCATATCCTGAAAAATTAAGGAGTAAAGTACACAAAGAAGGAAAATATGCAAGTAAATAATGGCATTTAGTGTTGTTTATGTGTCTAATATTTGTACTAGATTGTAAAAGTTATAAAATTCTATTAGCTTTTTTAAATTATTCTTTTTTAAATTGAGATGCTTCTTTGCACCCAAATGGTTAAAGCCCTAGTGTGACTTTGGTACTTTGATCTAACTTCTATTCCTAATAAATAATCCAGCTGCATACAGTTTACTCAATTTCTGCCATGTGTAAGGTAAACAATATTAGCTTTTTTTAAATATATCTTTTACAACTATTCCATCAGGTAGATTTCTTTCATATTTTGCCTTAATTGAGTCATCCTGCTAATTAAGAATTTATTAAAGTTAATATGTTAAGTTTTTGTGTGTATAATTCATTTTAAGTATGTGCAAGCAAATGCATACATTAACAGTTACGTAGTAGAATTATGTTTTGGGTATCAAATTCAGAAATTTTGGGGCTGTTTTTAGAAGATTTATTAATGATTTATACTATATTAATATTGGTAAAAAAATTCTGTGGCTTTTATATGAGAGTATATATTTTAAAATAGCTGCATGATATGGTAGAGGTAAAAAGCTTCATGTGGATCATAAATTAATATTATGTGGCAATTTTTCATTTATTTAATAAAGAAAATATTCAAGCCACAATTAAAATTTTTTCACTGGATTATTTGCATACAAAGTTTGCAGCAAATATTTCCTGCAACAGAAGTGACAATTTTTATTTTGCCAAGACAGGAAATTTAGTTAGTGAAAGCAGTAACCCTATTTTGAGATGTTAAACAGGAAGGCAAATTTTTGAATTTAAATTGATTTTTGAAGGAAGACTTCATTTAGTCTTGCTATCATTCTACGTGGCTCTTAACTTTTTTATGGTATTTATAATTTTATTGTTATTCAGCTTTCTGTTTGCTTAGAATGCACATGAATGTAGACTTGAAATATTTTATATTGCAAACTGAGATGCCATTGTTATCATAATTAAAGATTTTTGCTCTGATTTTGGAGGAATTTACTGATAATACTTTTGATTGTGTATTGGTTTCTGGTTTATTGAAATGTGTAAAATAGCCTGTTAATGCATATACGTATGTTAATGACATGTATATGTTTATGAAGTATTCTGTTATATGTATATAGTGTTGTGATTAGTTTTCTGCTTACTCTTTATTTAAGAAAAAGTTATCTGTAAGAAAGCGAATATTCTTTACTATATGTAGGAGTAAAATTGAAAAGGCTAATGCAATATAATTAATACAAAATTAAGTTTTTTTCTCATGTACTTAAATACAAACATAGCCATTAAAGACTTTCTCAACCTTGCAGTTCTAAACAAATCTTAAGTATTTTTTACTTGAAATTATAGGCATTGTGTAAGGTATATAATTGAAGCTTACTGTGTGATAGTATGAAATTAAATTTTTAATTACTGAAATGTAAATTTTTAAATATGAAATACTCAGTGCATTTTATATGCATCTTTTAATACTTCAACTATATTTAAAAACTGAAAACATCTGAAGTGTGAAATTATTACAAATTTTTCTTTTTCTTGTTTAGGAGCTGTTCTCAAAACATTGGGTGACAAAGAATTCACTTTTACAAAAATCGAATCGAGCAGGATATTAAAGACAGCGAACTATAGAACAAATATGGCGAAGCTGCATGAAGTCTATGTTGAATTTTATTATTGAAAAAAATATGCTCTTCAGATTTAATGTTAGTTTTTATTGTTTAACAGTAATTGCAGTTTTCGAATACCTGTAAAATAAACCTAATTCTTAAATTAATTTCATGTGTATTTCTTTTGCAAGTATTACAGTTCATAATACTTCAAACAACTTGAAATTTTATACTTGTTAATTTATGTGGGATATGTTCATAATAATTTTATAATTTAAATAACTCATTGTCATCATATGAGCATAATCTAAAATGCACAGCATTTGACAACAAATTAATAAAAAAATTAGCCAACTTCTAATTGCTTTCTTTTGTCCAGTTGCCTCTTTTTAAATCATTTAATACCATAAAGCTATTTGATGAAAAAAAATAATTGGTATGTCCACATCAACATGTACATTTATAATGATGTTATAGAAAAAGTCACATGAGATAAATATTTAAAAACTTAAATATTCCTAAACAAATTAACTTTTTAAAATTTTATCTGGTATATAAGATAAAATAAAGAACATATTTAGGTAATTTTGAATTTGCATAATTTTATGAACTTATTTATGAAATTAACAGTTACATTGTAAAAGGGAACTTTTTAAAAATACCTCAATAAAGCATTTCTTTTGTAGAGGTGAACTTTTAGTACTGATCTAATATATTTATAAGATTTTAAACTGAGAAAGACAACAATAATAGATTACAATACATTGCAAGATTGACTGATAAATGTAAAATTTTTACATATCATAATTATGTGTGTAATTAAAACAGAAGTTACTCGATTAACTTGCATGCAAATTAATATTTTCTTTAACATGTTTGGGATAAACTGAATTTTAATAAATAAATATGTATATATTTGTGTATTATCTGAAGATATGAATGAAATATTTGTGACATTAAACATTCATCTTCAAGGAAAATAACAAAGTCAACTTGGTAAACTATTGGAAAAGGTAAGTTTTCTACAATTTCCTGGTCTATATTTAACAATTTTAAAATTTAGCACATTCAAATAATCTAAACGTATGATGTTTTCTTTTGTGCTACATTCGTTTACTGAATTTGTTAATTAACTATATTGTACTTTAGATAGAAATTAACGTAGATATTCCCTGTATTTTACGGTACAAAAACTTATATATTTGATAATAATTGACCTAAATCTTCCCTATGTTTTCTTTGCATATACGAATGACTTTGGTAAAACCTTTGGTGACTTTTTAGTCCGATGTCTTCCTCTTTACTGTGTATAAGTGCACATTTTTGGTAAAAAATTTGCATAAATCTCCAATTACCTATTTACTGCATTTTTCGTAAAATGTGCTTATTTTAATCTCTTATTTTTTATATAAATCTATGCAAAAATGTTCTGCATATTATGATTAAAAGATAAAATTAATTTAATATCAAATTTTTACATATCCACCTTTTAGGTATGTACAGCAATATGGAATATATATAACTGGAAAATTTAAATGCAAAAAAATTAATTTCTATTCAAAAATTACATAACACTAAAAGGCTGAAAATCACTTTTAATATTTCATTTCAAAGTGACTACAAAATATGCAATAAATTTTGTAAACCTGAGTTCTATGTTTTAAATCAATTAATGCTATCGTTCATTTACATCGGAAAAGAAAAGCAAATAATTTATTTAAAGTGTTATTAGTAATATTTAGTAAACAACTGTTTGCTACAGTTTTTTACTAAATTTAAATTTATGAAATGAATTTAGTAAACAAAAATGCAAATGAACGATAGCATTAATTGATTTAAAACACAGAATTGATGTTTACGAAATTTATTGCATATTTTGTAGTCACTTTGAAATGAAATATTAAAAGTCATTTTCAGCCTTTAAGTGTTACGTAATTTTTTAATAGAATTTTTTTTTTTTTTTTTCATTTACTAGTGCATTTAAATTTTCCAGTTATATATATTCCATATTGCTGTACATAACTAAAAGGCAGATATGTAAGAATTTGATATAAAAATTATTTTACCTTTTAATCATAGCATACAGAAAGTTTTTGCATAGATTTATATAAAAAATATGAGATTAAAATAAGTACATTTTATGAAAAATGCAGTGAAAAGGTAATTGGAGATTTATGCAAATTTTTTACCAAAAAATGTGCATTTATACACAGTAAAGTGGAGAATACATCGGATTAAATTTTTACCAGTCATTCGCATATGCAAAGAAAACATAGGGAAGATTTAGGTCAATTACTATCAAATATATACGTTTTTGTACCGTAAATTACGGGAAATACATACGTTAATTTCTATCAAATATATACGTTTTTGTACCGTAAAATACAGGGAATATCTACCTTAATTTTTACCTAATATATACATTTATATACAGTAAAAAATCAGGGAAATTTACGTAAATTTTTACGTATATGCGATAAATATACGTAAATTTTTACTAAAAATATATGTAAATCCCTGAAATTTACGTATACTATAAGTAAAAGTTGCGAATGAACAGTAGTCTCTCGCGTAAATATACCTAAATTTTACATAAAAGTTACGTATAGTATAATGTAAAAATATACGTAAATATTTAGTAATTGCCACTGGACACTTTTTATGATATTTTTACGTTCAACTTGAACGTTTTTTATACGAAAGGCCATTCATAAATTGCACGTTTCTTTCTCGTGCAATTTACGAATGCATGCTGCCTGGGAAGAATCTAAAAGGAGAGATACCTCTAATCCTATTGAGCTTGAAGGACAGCTCAGTCAAGTAAAGTATCTGAACTGTATTATTACACTGCTCATAGGAAATTTCAAAAACTATATCCAAAATTTTTGAAATCCAGAGCTGCTGAAGTCCCAACAACTTCAGATTTCAAACTTTGTATTGTATCTATACGTAAAGAGAAAAATTAAATTTCTACACTTGTGTACTTCATAGATCATTACAGCAAGATTTTCTTTTCTATTTGTGTAGCATATGTTAGTTTAGCTATTTTGCATCAAATTCATTTTTTAGGATAAGAGATTAACTTTGTAGAAAGCCCTAAAGAGAATGAAGCAAAAGCAAATATAAAGTTAGTATTTTTCCCTCCAGATCTAGTATTTTTTTTCTTGCTTATGTTAGTACAAAATATTTTTGCCTGAAAACCGCACAGTAATTAACAATTTAAACATAACCCCAACAGTTACCCAAAATAAAAATAACTACTTAATATAGAATTTTACCTTATCTTTGGAAAATTTATTTTTTGGTCCTTCTTTCTGTTTACCAGGATACATGGCACTACTATCTGCTGTATTCCATTTAGCTCCTTTTTTCTTCCCTCCATATCCGTACTTGCTGTCTCTAAACTCCCGATTCCTTTTGCTAAAGAATTCAAAAAACTTATCAAGATTTTGTTAACATTTTTAGGAAAAACTGATTGTTAATATATTCTGACTTCAATTTCTAAAACGAGAGAAGCTTTTTTTAATTTTTTTCAGTGTAAGTTCACTGATATATAAATTATATTTAGTGCTATCGGCCTAAAATAGTTACAAAAAAAGACAAAATACATTATGATTAAGAGTCTAGCTAGTACGTAATTAATAATAACAAAGATGAATTTGTTTATTGCTTTTAAAACACTCAATTTATTAAGAATACTTACAGTCAGTACCTTCATAGGCCAGTGTGTTTAGGTGTCAGTTCCTTTATAGGTTATCTTACATCTAAAGAAACTGACAAGAGTAAGCAGTGAACTTAAAAACTGTTTCAGGTGAAATGAAGTGACCAATCTATAAACTGGCTAGGCTTCCCATGGATGTGTGTGTGTGATTATGGCAAAGCCTCGAGGGCTATCTGCCTAAGAGGAAGGATGCCTTCATGGAGGACTTTCTAAGGGAAAATGGCTCGTATACATGTTACACATGAGGAAAACCACGAAAACGCCCATGCAGCCAGCCCGTTCGCGGGATTAGAACCTCAGATCGAACTACCAGTGTTCAATGATTTTACCACTTGGCTGCTTGATGGGCTTACTTCCCATGGATGATTGATTTATTTATTTCACTTGTTTTATATTATAAAGTCAGTATAAAGTTTGTTTAATTTTAAGCCAATGATGAGTTCATGGGGACCTAGTGTGTTACGGCATTCACTGTGTTGCTGTCCACTGAAACATGACACTGCTGTTATTCATACAACACTAAAAATAATTCAGTTCTACTTTTACTTTAAATCCGATGTGGCAATATGAGATTATTTTTATTACTAACTATGTTCTAATGATGTTATATTACATTGTGTTTGCATTTTGCATGTTAGAGCAAAGTAAAATACTTCTGTTATTTATTGTATACAATTTGATTTCCATCCCCTTCAGAGGTGAACACTTACTTTTTTATAGGTTTCCCTTGAAATTTTTTTTCTTCTAGTAACTTGTCAGCGCCCATTTTTCCTAATATCAAAAAGAGTAAAAAAAACTGAATGCTTAATTGAGTACTAAAAATAAAAATTCATAAATTTTGCATTTACGAAAAACATAATTTAAAATATATTTTACTTTGGAAAATGCAACTGTATTATAATGAACTTCTCAGAAATTTTGAAACCTGTTCTAACACATTTATATCACACAATCTATAACAGAAAATTTATATCAGATGAAGGTTATGCAGCCCTCAAATAACTATTTAATCTTAATAATCCAAAAGGATCAATAACCAATTGGTGGGAAAAACCAACAATACAAATATTTCAGATAAATTAACACAAAATAATATTAAAAGACAAATTTTGAGATGGAAACCATGTCACTTTTCTTCTATAAATGCATTTTACTTTCGATTAACTTCCAAAAGACCACATTTTCTTCATGAACATCTACAGTGGTGGCCAAAATTGTGGACACTTTTGAAAATTTTTATGTTTTTGAACTTTGTATGCTTATAGAAAATGTTATGTTTTGCAAAATGCAAACTTGTATATATCATTTTAAAGAGATTTTATTACTGAATTTAATACAAAACACAAAATTCAATTATTTGCAATACAAAAAAAAGTTATATGTACTTTAATATAAATAAAAAACACAGTTATGAGTGGTTTGTAATGTCTAGCTTTCCTGGCCAATCACTGTTCTTGTTCTGAGAACCAATCAAATGTTAGTAACTGCCATAGTAGGAGCTGACATCATGTTTACACTTGAAACAATTCATTATTTTGCTTTGTTCTGTAGAAGGAGGACCTGTTTCTTATACACTGCAATTACAAGTAGGAATTTTTTTAAAAATTTTTAATATTTAGTCAAGAAGCAATGACATCAAATAAAAGAGTAGATTGGACACCTAGAAAGAGATGTAATATTATTGTGTTACGAGAAAGTGGTCTTTCCTATGCTGAAATTGCAAGACAGGTGGGTGGTTCAGTGACTACATCTGGAGTCCGAAAGTTTTGTTTACAACATCAGGAGACAAATTCAATAAAAAACAAAGAAGGAAAGGGCCAAAAAAGGTGCACCATATCTATTGATTACAGAAGAATAAAAAGACAATGTCTCCAAGATAGAGAAATGTCATCAGCGGCCATCAGAAATGATCTGAATGATGCTGGTGTTTCTGTCAGTTCAAGAACAATCAGGAGAAGATTAACAGATGTTGGACTGAGAGGTAGAATTCCATGAAAAAAACCTTATCTTAATTTTCAGTAACGAAAAAAAAAAAGAGACTACAGTGGGCAAAGGAACACATTAATTGGACAGATGATCAGTGGTCACAAGTTATATGGAGTGATGAAAATAAGATATCGTTATTCGGTAGTGTGGGCGAAAATATGTAAGACATAGAATAGGAGAAGAGCTACATCCTGACTGCATTCAAGCAACTGTGAAGAACCCAGTTAGTGTTATGATTTGGCCATGCATGTCAGCAGATGGTATCGGTCGCCTTCATGTCATCTATGGGACACTGAATGCCAGAAAATACATTGACACTATTCTAGAACCAAAACTTCTATCTTTCATCAGAGATCTCTTTTCCAACAATGCTTCGTTTATTTTTTAGCAGGATTCTGCTCCTTGCCACATGGCCAAAATATCGAAAGAGTGGTTTCGTACAAAGATATTAAATTCTTGTCATTGCCAGGAAACAGTCCTGACCTCAATCCTATCGAAAATTTGTGGCAGCGTTTGAAAACTCTTGTCCGAATGAGGCGCCCATCAAATAAAAGGGAACTAATTGAGGCTATAATTGTTTCCTGGCATCATGTAATAACAAAAGAGGAGCTTAAAACTCTTGTCAGCTCAATGAAACGTCGATGTGAAGCTGTAATCAAAAATAAAGGGTACCCTACTAACTACTGATAACTCACTGCAATCATCGCTATCTAATGTATATCGATAACTATTATCGTTTAACTTCTTTTGTATTGCAAATAATTAAATTTTGTCTTTTATATTGAATTCAGTAATAAATTCTCTTTAAAATGATATATACAAGTTTGCATTTTGTGAAACGCAATGTTTTCTATAAGCATACAAAGTTCAAAAACATAAAAATTTCCAAAAGTGTCCACAATTTTGGCTACTACTGTCAAAGAATTGCCTCCTTCCACATGCCTTCATAACATAAGCGAAAGTACGCCCGGAGGCCTGGAGTTTATATCTCAAGGAGATCAAAGCTGACTTTTCACGTTTTCTTCTTTGGAATAATCCCAATGACTACACCAAATGGCCACCCAATATCCAACACTGACATGGATAGCCCTGGATTGTAAAGAAACCAGGATTTTAAAATGAAGTTAAAACTTTTAGATGAATGTGGGCTGATTGCACAAATTTTAGTTTGGTACGCTAAGCTTGAAATACAAATCCAGAGTTTCTGGGAAATTTTCATACTAAATAGTGACATTTCCATAGCTGAAACCATGTACAGTAGAGTTCTGCCAACTTCACCTAATATGAACTGAGAAGGTCAGCAATTGCTGAAAACATTGAATTTTACAGAATAGGTTATTCACAATTCACTGTTCTTTAATACTTTGTGTGACATGTAAATCCATGGAATTCTCCAATCTCTAAAGGCATCCAGTTTTATTTGCATTGAAATTCATTGTATAGGTGCCTACATCTAGGCATGTATCCTGGCCTTGATAACTGCTTAGATTCTGCCCCAAATGAAATTCTGTGGGAGAACTCCCTGGGAGTCGGTTCAAGGACCTCAAAAAGAAACAATGTCTGGAACAAGTTACCAGTAATTCTGATATGGAAGAAGAATGAACAATCCTAAGAAAACTGCAAAAATACAGGAAAATTCCAAACCCATGCAAATCTCTCAAGAAACCCACTTCCAGCTACTTCAAAAAATTGCCGAGCAGAATTCTGAAGGAGGAACCAATGCAGAAGCCCTGCCTATTGTACTCGCTAGCGAAGAAAGTGATTGCATGATATTAGACAAAATGTTCAAGAAAACATGTTCTGAGCCCTACGAATGCCAAATGAGACCAAGATTTTTTTTTTTTTTTTTGTCTTCACAAAAAACCTGAACGACTACAGTAAAATGAATCAAATCCTGCTAGACAAGAAAATCTAGTTCCACTCATATCAATACGAATGTGAAAAGCTGTTACGAGTTATACTAAAGAATCTTCCCACTTAGGTTAAGGAAGAAGTCATCTATCAGAATCTTGAACGTAGGAAATATCCCATCACGAAAGTGAAACAATTCACGAGAAACCAAAAAGGATAAGTTACTAGGCTACCAATATTTTTGCTGGAACTGAGGAAAAACAACAAAGGAAACTTGATACACCAGCTAAACAATGTTTAGTTTCAATGTGGTAGTTGAAAAATTTAATCCGAAAAAAGATCGGTACAGTGTTACCGCTGTCAGCAATTTGGCCATTTCCAATTCTGTTGCAACAACCCAGTCAGATGTGTGAAATGGGAAAATCAGCACCGAAGTAATCAATGCACTATTAAGCTTGAAGACAAACCAAAGTGTATCTTTTGTGGAAAAAATCATGTAAGTAGCTACACAGAGTGTAATGAATACAAGAAAAAAGTTCAGCCTCGACCTAAAGACCCTTAAGTCACAGAAGAAAATTTCCCAAGTACAAAAGTGGTTCCTCATCCAATTCAGGGAAACATTCCCCAAGCCTTGTACAGCGAAAAAGCTTAAAGGAAAGATCACCCTACCCCTGAAAGAAGTAAACGACGAAAAAATAAACGCGCTCCTGACATTCATCGTTTCTTTCATCAGAAAAATTAAATCAGCGAAAAACTCCAAACAGGCTTCCAGGCAGCAATGTTGCTCATTCAATTTGTTCAATCTGAAAATTAAGCAATGACTTGTATGCGACCTAAAAAGGACCAATAGCGATGCAGATAG